ACTAAAACACAGCAAAGAAAGGGTCACTTTGTAAAGACTAAAGGTCAACTATATATTATTGAATACAGTTTATTTCCTAATTTTTTATGTTGGTTACAAGATCGGTCAAATCTATCTAACCCGTAGAGATTCATTAGTGAAAATAACAGAAAATATAAAGTTTTTCCTTTAAAAATGTTTGATAACTATCTGGACACTATAAAGACTTCACATATGAAATTTGAAAATTTTCTGATGCATAAAAATGTTCTTATTCTTAAAATAAAAATACTTTGCATGTTGGATAGGTAACAAGTGAAAATTAAAAAGAATGTATGAGAAATTTTGCCTAACAAACCTTGAGAATTAATGTTTTGTGTACGAAGCATTGTAATGTTAACTGATAATCTGCCAAATTTCGTTAACATACGCTTACTAATTTAAAAGTTATAGCATGAAAACTATAACAAGCACACTATGGTTACGAGGTCGATCCGATGGACCGAGCCCGTGTTGAAAGGGTTAAAGCATAGATTGTAAGTGTTCGTAAACCAGTGCAATGTTAAGTTGAAAATAACTTTTTAATCCACATTCCCGTGTGTTTTTTACAATTTGCTATTATTCTGAAATTTACAATTTGGAAAAGGGAAGATGTATTCCTCTCCCATAAAACTGTTGGAAAATGGTGCCTGTATGAGCAATTTTATTAAGGTTTTGAAGTTTGATGGTTTCAATTTCTCGCTAATTTTTACTGATTGTTTAGACTTTTTTTAATGGGCTAATAAATAACATTTCATCCTTCAACTGTCAAAATAATTTTATTATGTTTTGTTATGTAATGAATAATGATACGTTCTTAAAAACCTTAAGTTCGATAGAATCCATTGAAAGTTAAAATAAAAAAATAAAATAAAAGTTTGCTTCATCTGCTTTCTTCACATGTGCTTCAATATACTAAGTTTGAGAGCATCTTTGCACTTACTTCGAAAAACTTAAGGTACACTTAATACCAGAAATAGCAATTACCTGTACCGAACAGTAACGGCCCATTTCAATTACCTGTACAGCGTACCGAACAGTAACGGCCCATTTCAATTACCTGTACAGCGTACCGAACAGTAACGGCCCATTTCAATCAACTGTACAGCGTACCGAACAGTAACGGCCCCTTTCAATTACTGGTTTGGTGTGAAATGAAGGATTATTTATATTAACTGGACTATACAGAAATTTAAGGGTGGGAGATAATTTCTTATTTTGTTAAGCGGAGGCAGTAAATTCTAATTTCAGTTTACTTAATGA